CCATATTGTCCTATTATAAACATTTAATTTTTTTTTACTTTTCTTTCACGACGTTAATATTTACAATAGCGGGGTTTTGATCATATTATTGTATTTATGAGTACACACACTTTAAATAATGTTATGAAGTTTATGAAAAACTCAACCACTTTTCTGTGAAAATAGCTCTAAATTCCTGTTTTAGAAAGGCTCAACCCATTATCTCAAAAATGGCTCCAATTCTTGTTCAAATTTTTCATTTGTGATGATTCTCAAAGTTCATTTGGGGGTATTCTTTGTTTTTTTCAAAAATTACACTTTTTTTTAACATCTCACGCCGTTAATATGCACATTTCCAGGGATTTGTAAATACTATTGCATTTGTGGGTTAAAGTGCCTTAAATGCCTTTAATGAAGTTTTTCAGAAACTCAAAAAGTTTCTGTGAAAAAGAGCTTTAAATTTTACATTTAAAGAAACACTTAAAACACCACATTTTTAAAATCCACTCTACGTTTTTCAACACAAATTCACATTTATAACATTTTACTCTTCTTTAATATTCTTAAAGTAATATTTCAGTTCTACTATAAGGAAACTGAAAAATTGAGAACATGTCAAGAAAATGTACTTTGGGCGGTGATAGATGACACATGGTAAGAGAATAAATCCACGCCAAGGAAATTAGGAAACTTACAAGAAAGTGTGCAATTCTGTGACACCACTAATTCTAATATTCTTCCAGAATCATCTAGAAAGACCTGGCATAAAAAGAGATCCAATTGATTGATTGAAAGCAACCAAATGTGATCAGTTGGGAATAGATTTTTAAGGGCTTAACATTTATAACCACACATTTTTATTTTAATGAAACCTCAAAATACGTGTAAAAGAGGAAAATATGTGGTAAAAAAAAATTGTTAATATCATGGTTAGTATCGGGTTTATTTCAACTGATCATGATTTTAAAACATCTGTGGTTTAACACTGCCATTTTGCTTACTGCAAGAGGGTCCTTTTAGACTTGTTCTATGCAATCTTTCCCCAATTTTTTGTAACAATTTTTTTAAATGCATGGAAATTTAGTATGTTCTACATCAAGAATTTGAATTGGAGTGTGTTTCAAACAAACAATTTTACTTCATTTTTAGTTCCCCATTTCCTCCTCCCTTTGGCCTTTTTACAAATATACAAAGAATTTACAAAACATCTTGATATCCCCTTGTTTTTGAACAAAGTTCTTCATATAATATGGTGCAGCTTCCTGCTATGTGGACCTTTCACGACTTGTTTGTTCTTCCACTGGGAAATATCTTTCACTGCCCAAGACAATGGATTGTTTACATTATTCAAGTGTCAAGCTGGATCATTAAAAGATGTAATGAACACTAAATGATTTTTAATACTTCATTGAACAGTGGCAGTAGAATTTCAATAGAAAAAGCCTCGTATTTGTTCTATCATATATATCAGATTTTCAAACTTCAAAATTGTATGCATAATACTCTCACTCAACCGCATCTCCAAGCGTTGCCACTGGAAGTCATAGGATAGAAATGTCAGGATTCTTTGTCTTGAATAAATCTAAACAATTTTAGATTGGAGATGGAGATTTTAAAAACACTTTCTTTCCATTTAAGATGAGTTTAAGTACGTTTGAATAAAGTGTGTTTACATTTTGTCACACACTCTCGCTACAATGTGTCAATGCAAGTGACATCAATAATTTTGGGATATCTGACAAGAGACCATCTGCATCCTTCTTCGTGTATGCTGCTGCATCTCATAGAAGCAAAACATTCTTGCACTTTACCTCATTGGAAAAAAGCAAGTGCATGGCCTTACTAAAAAGCCTTGCAACAGTAATATGATTTGCTGCAGTTGGATCCTCACTTATCAAAAGAAAGCATTGTCTTTCATATTCTTTGAAGGTACTCAGTAAACCAATGATGACACTTCCAACTCTCCTTCAACAAGTCACTTGGTTCATCAATGCACACCTACATTTTATCTTCTTGGCAGACAATACGAATATATTGCATGGCTTCTTCATATCCCTATGGAAGATAGTTCTTATACAGTGTTCATTCATCAGGGGGATCCATGTTTATGCAATTTACAAGAACATTTTTAATGAAGGATTGTTTACTTTAAGAAGTGGAGTGCAGCACAACACCAATCTGCACAATAAATAAGGAATAATAATTTTGAAGATGCACTTCTACTGGCAGGTTTATTTGCACCCCAACAAACTTTTGTTTATCTTTCACACACAATGCATTTTGTAAAGCACATGTAGCAATTTACAAGTTTGTTGCCGCTGAAATGCTAAGTAACTTGGGAGCACTGTTCCACAACAACGGAGTTTCAGCATGTTTGAATGAATAAAACTTTTCCATCAGTGGTACAATTAACTCTAAATTCAGCTACATATTTGTTGAAGCAGTCCCCAGACTTGCCCTTTACTTTTGACACCTTTGCAGTCACAGAAAGAGGGACAAACACAAATGCAGTCTCTTTGCTGCCGAAGGAAAATAGTTCCTGAGAAAATAACACTATACAAACAATAAAGAGTGACCTCGGAAACCATTGTCGTACCAAAGCAGTTGAAAGACTGTCTTCAGACTTCCACCCTTCTTTAAATATAACCAAAAGATGTATAGCAAAATAGAAACTGAATTCCAATTGGATCGAGTGAGTTTGTGTCCAGCAAATAGCAATTCTGAGTATACGCAGATGCTCAAAAGTGCCAGAAGCCATGTCTGGTTGGTTTCTACTGCAATCCTGATTATAGAATGTGACCCACACTGACACTGAGAATTGACTGGCAGCAATCTCCGGAAAGGTGTCAGTAACTCGTATGTGATGAATTCCAAGAACAAGCCACTCATTGCAGCTACTTGAGTAGGATATTGTGTTTCACTTCTGTATTGGACTCCAGCACATGTTCAGGATAAACATCCAAAACTATTATGTACAGGAATCACGAGAATACATATTCTTGGAGCACTAAATCAGTAGAAAAAATCCACATCAACTTCGAAAGTTGCTGTTTTTCAGCAGAAAACAAAATATTTAAAGATCAAAATAGTGAAAAATGTGTTTTAGACAAAACAAAATTTTATATTTTTTGAGTTCAGGAAGACACAAAATACTCCCCCCTCCCCAGCATTTAACTAAAAATTCACCCCCTAGTAATCACCTCTGAAAGTAGCTTTAAAACTCCCTCAATATGGGTTTTAGATGCACCTCCCAAATGTGCTTTTGACAATTCATTACAAAATTGAATTACCATCAACCTGATGGATCAAATATTGTTTCATGTACATGCCAAAAATAAAGCATACTAAATCACAGAGTCTCACTAATTTTATCATAAGTACATTGAAACCATCAAACATGACTCAAGAAGCAAAATGAGAGATTGTTAACTCTTTGTTCACTTTCTACACAATCTGTACATATTCCTGCAATAGCACTACTATTTCCTTTATGGGGAAGAGGGACGGAGGGTATACTATTTTTACAAACAATATAGATTTTTTTCAATTTTATTCTTTATATATCATGTCCAATTTGTATATTTTTTTACATTTTTCCTGCATTTGAAAATGAAATACAATTAAGAGAAAAATAATGGTACATGATTAACCAAAATTATGCAAAACTGTACCCACAGCAACCTTATGAAAATTATTGTAGTAATTAACTGGCAATGTAATCTGCAAATATGGTTTATATCTGAGACCAACTTAAGCTTAGTCTGCATTTAGAATCTACGTAGATTTGGCTAGGATGAAAAATTATTTTTAATTATACATTAAAATAGCCGCTAACTGCTCATCAGGATACAAGTCTCACAAAGCACTTATGTTTCAAGGTTAGTCAATATTCATTACATTTGTGAGCAGGGATGTTTCAAATATCATTCACCACCCAGCCAATAGACCTGAGTGAAAAGGAATATTATTCTCCCATACCTCATTTATCCCACTGGAAATACCTCCAAACAGTTTGCCTGAAAGTACACATAAATATACAATACAATTGATAAGAAATTTCATATTCATGCTATCACACATCACATACATTCACACACACACGCCAATACATGTAATCACTCTCTCTTGGTACCTGCTAAGCACAAGAATGTACATTCACTGCAGCATACAAAATTAAGAAAAACACATCTACTGTACAGCATCATTTAAAAGAGCATTGCATGAGGAATTGGACTTAGTATAGGACTTCACAAGTAATGCCGCAAAATTCTTAATAATCATTCAGAGGAGAAGGATCTCTCTTATTTGATGTCTTATCACCATTCACTACCAACGAAATCCTTGAAGTTCACTCACAGATGTCACTGTTTTGAAAGACACTGCTCTTGAGCACAACTAAGAGCTGCATGATTATCAGCTCTGTTGAGCAACAGGCATGTTGAACAGGCCACACAATAATTCCATTACTCTATTTGCTGTTATACACATGCTCTGAAATACACAAAGATAGCGAGTTTGCATTTATCTTGTAGGGAAAGCAACAGAAATACTAAGACAAACGATATGAATCACCAAATGGAAGCAAACTTCTAAACATAGTACAATATATTATACACGTTTCTCACCATTACCCTCAAATCACTTCCTTTATTCATAGTCACAAATACTTGTATAAGTAATGGTGCAACATTTTGTCAAATGAACAGTTAAAAATCCATTCTCTGACAATCTTTAACAAAAGCAACTATTTACTTTTCTAGTTTCCATCAATGTGAGCACAAGCTTCATAAATATAGTAAAGTACAGAGCTGACTGGATCCAAGACGTGGAAGTGTTTGGATACATGGCCTTGTAATGCTGATAAATGTATCTGCATCAGCATTGTATAAAACTCTATTGATATCTAACTTACATATACATAAATGAAATAGTTCACAAAAACAAGAAATATATGGTACCTTCAGTGAGGTATTATCATGCAATATATGACATTAGTTGAATGTACATAGAATAACAGTGTTGGGGAAAAGAAATATCTAATGATGAAAATTAACCAGTTACTGTGGGTACTGTTTGCTGACGTCTGCTGTTTCCCATGTATAATTAAATTTACATAAATGTCAAAGATGTAGGCATTTGAAACCTCCCATTTGGAACAAATAACATTTCAATCTTACCTTTAGTTTAGCCAACATGGAAAGGCTTGTGACCACTGTTTTTAACTAGTGGCAAAACAGGCCTACTTTGATGATTAGCTGAATTAATATGAAATACAGAAGATAAGAGTCCCTACCATACAACGGGGTCTTTGTTATGTTTAAAGCTAGTTTTCTTGCTAGGTATTCCCCCTCCCATCTTCAATACAAGATTGCTTCAAACCACCTCTTATGAGTTCACCACTATCTTACTCTAAAATAGAGGCAATGAATGTACCATTACAAATTCTTGCACACCAACTTAATAAACAGATGAAATATCTTGCAAAATCGTTCTTATCCTTAGCAACTATCATAACACGAAAGTTATTTTCCTTGAAATTCATCAGAACCTTCAAATCACATCAACAGTGGCACACCGCAGTAGAAAACACAGAATCTCAATACAGATGGAATATGGCTAATACTTCAAAAAATTATAGGTAAGCTATTTGGTCTCCCCATTCCACATCAAGAAATAAGTGAATGACGATTTGCAGATAAAATGTTTGAATGGGTTAATGAAGAGATTGCAATTCTGCAAGTCCTTAGTCAGATCACAATATAAATACAAAATAAAAATAATCACTGATCTCACAAATTTCATAATGAGATGTAAAAGGCCTATTTACCCAACTTTCTCATAAATTTTATAGCAGCAAAAAATGGGACTAAATATTCCTTACAAGACCTTGGATCAAAATAAAATTTCATCCCAAGAAATATACTGTAGTAGCTATGAGATCGCTATGTTTTAAAGTATATCAGCAAGCTATGACAAATGACGATCTCTCAAAATGCTACTCCACCACTGCCCCAGGAGCTCTGGGCTGTCTCACATCTGAGGAGAATCCCTTTGTGCCATCCGGCCCACGAGGCTGGCGAACAACCGTCAGCTTAGGCCCCGAGTCATCCACAGAAATGGTGCGCAGACGACTTATGAGACGCTCTGGTCGTTCTTGTTTCGGAGCATCACTGAAAACAAGATAGATATCATTATTACCTCTGGATTCCTTACAATAAAAATTGAGAACCTCCATTCCCAAACAAAAATGGTGCTTTTGAATTTTATCGGTTTCTTTACAATAACTAATTGTAACATTGAGTTTTATTTACTGTCTTACAGGAACACAAAAAACTATTTTAAGTCATATTTACATCAAATAAGGAAAATTACATTTCTTTCCAAACTCCAAAAAGCAAACTCTGCTTAAAGCACATTCATTTCCTATCACTTCAATACATTTCTTATCAGTATTTGAAGCAATCTCAAATGAAATTTCTCACTTTCTTTTACCAAAAATTTATTTTATTCATTTATTTATTGTAGTAGCAATGTGCTGTTGTAAGGTTATCTTACAACACTTTAACAAGTTGTACAATAATTCAGTTTGGTAGAGTATCAACTTTATAATTTGAATCTCAATTATAAATAATACATACACACACACACACACACACACACACACACACACACACATGCTCTTGTTCTAAAGACGAAAAGTGAGATTATGAATGCTCAAGGAGCTGAAGAGTAATTCCGATCGAGGACCTGGACTCTTTATGTATACGTAAGCTTACACGGCTCGAATCCATGAATTCTCGGCTATCCGGGAGACGTCGCGTCGTTGGCTGGGGTGTCGACGTTTCGCCTGACACAATTCGCAATTATAATAGTAAATTTTGTACGAGGGCTCTGGGTCCGCTAGGTTATGCCCATTAGCAACAATGCAAGTCGTCAAGAGCACAGGAGTCAATTCGCATAAGATAGTGATAATCTACGATGCATGTTAACCGAGTTGTGTACACAGGCTTCGACACAGCCGATTTCATCAGTGTTAGGTGACACTTCAACAGTTATGTGACACACGCCCAAAGGAAATATTGAAATTCATGGGAATCAAAGATTTATGACTTTAAATGACTGGCTGCATAAAGTGTAAATATCAGCACAATCTTTACTACTGGCGTGCCTATGCCTGGTCCGTATTTCTTTTAAGTAAAGAAATAATGTACTTCAGCTTCCAGGTCAACGACTCCCATCATAACTGGGTTTTTGACCACTTCCTCTAATCCATTGAGCAAATGCTGGGACAGCCCCTATTTTTGCTTCTGAACATAAATTTACCTTCATTATCAGCTTGTTTTGTTGAGCTCACTTTTTGCTAGAAGTGGTAGGAGTAGAGCTAGGGGTGCATTACTATTTTGTTAGCATTACACAAAAGTGGTGTTTGTTAACTAATACAAATAAGTTTTCAATAACTCAGGAGCAAAAATGTCTCCTAAAGGTTGCTAACATCTAGCTTTTATTCATCATTCAAGAACTAAAATGAAGGGAAAGGAAGAGATTCTGGAACTCAAGAAAATGTGCACAGATGGTACTTCTCCCCCAAACATCACATGCAATTTTTAATATTCTTTGACAAAATAAATGAAAAGTAATATTGGTAGCAGTTCTTGTAAGCAGGTCCTAGAGTAGAATGTGCCAATACAAAAATGGTGAGTTTTTGGTTGCCCATAATATTAATTTTTAGTTTTGTGTTTTTCTCACTCAAACATTTTCACTCTTCAGTCCCCTGAAAACATGTAAGTGAAGTTTTACTGGTGTTTTAAATCAAAAAGCTGGTACTTTTTCTATTTCTCAAATTTTTGGTCCCCGTATGGTAGAACTGAAAAATTATTTTAAGAATACTATACAGTAAACCCTGGTTCAATATGCAAATTTTTATTGAAAAAATTTGATGCTGTTCTGGAAATTGCCATTTAAATGTTTCTGACAAGGCACAATTTTGTGCTAATTTTCATAGAAAACTTTTGAGTTTTCAAGAAACTTTGAAGCAGAAATGCAATAAATCATAAAAAAGACTGTCAATAATTATTTATAAATTACAAATTTATATCGAAACAGCACTTTTGTCATGTTAAATGCATTTCTCTTAATCTGTTAAAAAATGTAAAAATAGATTTGGAGTGGTTTAATGAGAAAATCTTGTTATCAAAATTGATCTTTTAAAAAAACAATGCATTTCTTGTACTTTCAAAGTGGCCTCAAACCCAAATAATCCAATAGACAAAATCCTGTTTGATCATAGAAACTTTCATGAATTCTACAGACAACAATCCTAACCTAGGCCTCTATCTCTCTGAGTCCATAATATACTAACAAAAATCTATTCCAATATATTGATTTAAACTCCCCCATGAACCCTTAAAACTCCTCAAAATGCTCACATAGACGTAATGCTGGCACAATATCTCGGAGAAACAACTAATCCTATAATATACTGAACACTTTTCTATGAAATACTTATATTAATAACAAGACTATGCAAATACTGTATATACAATGGCTCAAAACTACCACATGGAATTGGATGTACAATTGTATTTCCACATGAAACAGAATTGTATAATTACTCAATATGTCTACAGTTTTCTACAGTGAAGTTTTTGACATTAGATCTGAAATAATTGAAATTCTAAAATCAAGCAACTCTCATTTCACTATTTTTACTGACTCAAAAAGTGCTATTGAATCCCTACAAAATAAAAATAAATAACTTAATTAATAAATTCTTTTAATTTTTTTTAAACGCTCAATTTTTTTTAAATGCTTTGAATTTATTAATTGCTTGAATTTTTTAATTGCTCTGAATTTTTTAATTGCTCTTAATTTTTTAATTGCTCTTAATTTTTTAATTGCTCTTAATTTTTTAATTGCTCTTAATTGTTTAAAAATGCTTTTAGATTTTTCTTTAAATTCTATTACATTTTTTTACACGCTCTCAAATTTTTTAAATTCTCTTAATTTTTTTAAAAAATGCTATGAAGCAACCAATAATGACTTAAAAAAATGTGATCTAAACCAGTTCGGCTGAACAACTCAAACTGTAGGATGTGTTACCAGTGAAATTGAGACTTCTTCCATTCATTTAAGTGATCTCAGCTTGCCAAGTTTTGGAATGGGGGATTCTGTGGAGAATATTTTGTTGCAATTTGTAAATATTTTTTGAAGCAAATACTATTAAAATGATATTAAAATCTATGAAATCAGTGACAAATGCATTACAAATGACAGAAAAGTAAACAATTACTTATTAGTCAAAATTGACTAATGCAAAAAAGGGACATAAAAGTGGGTCATTTCCTTTTGTTATAACAAAATTATTACTACATTAAACTCCATTGTTCTAAATTGAAAAGAAAAAAATGACATTTCATTAAATCCCCACTTACCCCATCATTACATTGTGTAGCTCAACAAAGAGTCTCAGGTATCTTTCATCAATCCTCCTTTCAAAGATAGAAAAAGAAAGAAAGGAAGAAAAAATGAAAGAGAGAAAAAGAAAGGAAAAAAAAGAGAAAAACTGTTAATGGTCTGGAGGAGAGGGAAGGTGAAACCATTTATCTTAAAACAAAGTGAAAACTAAAAGAAAAAGTCCATGTACTTAAGTAAACAGTACCATCTTTCTATATTTCCTGTCACGGGAGAAATAAAGAAAATGTTTACCACTTCTAAGAAGTCATGGTATGGCAAAGCTCGACATAAACAGCATTGAGTTTGAGATGATTTCACATTCAATTATTATCTAGAACTTTAAGAGATTGATGGATATTCTTGGCAATTTATTCCCTATTTAGATTTGTAAAACTAAAGACGATAAGATTCTAGTTTGTAGAATATGATTCAACCTTTATGATATTGTAAATAAGTTTACCTGATATATCTTCATATAGGTTGACACTTTATTCTCACAAACTGTTCAATTTGCACTAAGGCTATGAATAAAATCACATGATTATTTTTTAAAAAATCAATGAGCTAAATCAATATTTATTATTTGTAATATTTGAAAATATATTTGTATTTTAAATATTTGTAAAATAATACAAAAAGTAAAAATTAATAACTGTCACAATTCACTGGCTGTGGCGACAGCAGCTTTGGCAACAATGCGTTGTTGCCAGCATGGTTTTTAAAACAACAATGGACAATTCTTTTGGCATATTTCACACCGCACTAACACTAGTACTGGCAATAGTGCTGGGAAGTAAATTCAAATATTTCGAAAAATATATATAATAATGTGATTATTAAATACTATATAGTATACTCCAAATCTGCTCGTTTTAGCACTAATAACACGTTTCACCTCGTTTGAGTGTGTAAGGCTGAATGCTCTTTATGTTTTCACACCTAAGAAAATTCCCTCAAATTCACATTGCAAATTAAAGAACAAACACTAATTTCAATTTGTATTCAGAATTCAATATGTGTATGGATGGGTTAGGGTAGGGATCCCAGAATTTAAGAAAACATTCACAGAATACATTTCCTCCCATAGAGCATCACAAGCAGTTTTAAACATTTTTTATGTCGCGTAAATTGACAGCTCATCAAATGAAGCGCAGGAAATTCAAATGAGCAATTTGGAAAATTTGTGAAATAAAGCTTAGCTACTCATTTATAAAATATTTTACATGACCTTTTTTAAAAGACCTTACATTTTTACAACAGACATCTTGTAACAAAAAATATCTATCATAAATATTGCATTTCTGCATTATTATTATTATTATTATGGTTTATCCACAAGCGTTGTTCACAGAAATGCAGACAAACAGACTGTATATCAGTTTATACGTCTGTCTGTCTGGATGAATAGACATTTCGCTGTCAATCATTTTTTCGGTAACTAAGCACCCACAAAACATTGTTTCTGACTACACTAGTGTTAGATGAAGAAATTAACTGCAAAAGATGCATTCCAAAAGTAAAGCATTGCATTTTTTAAAAGCAAATTAATTAATTATATAGGTCCATCAAATCTAACTTCTTCGATGTATGACCATTGTGGGTCAATATATTTTTGGCAGCACGATTTCCATGCCTCGTACGCTCCCAGGAAGTCCTAGGCAAAAAGTCCTTTAGAGCCCTCAATGAACTTGTTTCAGGCAAAAAGTCCTTTAGAGCCCTCAATGAACTTGTTTCAATGTTGTCAAAGTCTTGAAATGCATTTCTTTCATGATCCTTTTCAGCTGAGGGAACAAAAAAAAAAAAAGTCTGTCAGAGCATGGTCAGGACTATTGGGCGGTTGTGCAATCTTTGCTACACCGATGCAGGTCAGGTAGTCCCTGACAACAATGGTTGGGTGGACTGTCGTCGTAATGCTTCCAGGAAGCGCTGATCTCCTCTGACGCAGGTGGCTCTGTCACTCAGGCTCTGAAGCCCTTGTTTGTAGAACTGGGCGCTTACAGTGTGTCCAGGAGGTACAACTCATTGTGCACTATCCCCTTTGTGTCCCAAAAAAAAAAAAAACAATGAACATGACTCGTGTGTGATTTGCTCATGTGAGCCTTCTTGGAACACAGAGATGCCTAAGTGTGACACTCCATGTTCTGTCACTTTGTTTCCAGGTTGTACACAAAGATCCACCCCTCTTCCCTAGTGATAAGTATCAAAAGAATTAGGATGAAACATCTCGAAAGTTTCTACCATGTTTTGTTCACCTTCACTCCAAACTTGATCGCATATCTTTCATCCAAAGATATCTCCATCATTAAGTACAACATGACTTCTACACCACAGCTCACAAACTGACAAGTTCTAACCTACCCACAACAGACACAACTGAACTAGGAACCAGTGAAAAGCTAAACCTCCCCTTACCCTATCCAAACTAGTCTGATCAATCGGCGACAGTGGGGTAAAAAAAATTGAGACCAATTACTTTTGGAACTAAACATGTATGAGGCCAGATTTATCCACTTTTTTATTACCAGGGCCTGGCAACAACAGTTATGCCACCGAAAATTTTTACCCACAACATTAAAACTCTTTCTCTATAGTGTGAAAGCAGTAACAAGAAAGTAAAATGAAGATTTGATTTTTCCAGCTAGTAAATGCTAAAATTACAGGTTATAGTAACAAATTAACTAAGCCAACTATTAGAGAATGTCTTCAATGTAAGTATACTTTTAAATAACACAAGTTTTCTAGATGATTTAAAAAATAATTAAATTTATAAATAAAATAAATAAAATTCCCATTTAATAATAATAATGGGAAAGTAAGTCAAGACATTTCATTGCGTGATGCAACAACATATTACCAACTGCCCTTACTTAGCTTCTTGAAGATTGTAGTACACTATTTGGAGGAAATTAACTGAAGTATTCTTTATATTCAAAGAACAAAAAGAAAATATAGTGGAACTTATTAACAGTTAGCATACAGATGCATGTTGCGTTGTGTTTGAAGTGCTTTGAACACAGGAAGACAATAGGTGACCGATGACAATAGAAATTAATAAGGAATAATAATGCAGTAAATTCATGTCATTGTGGTCATTGCAGTAAATTCATGCCATCCAAGGCAAATGACACCTTGCCAATGATTTTTGCACTTCGACAAGTGGCAAGTCATAAAAGGTCTTAAATCTAGTTGCCGAAAAAACCTTACTTGCAATGCTCCATAGCACTAAAAATTCAGTTATGAGTTTTGAAAGGTGTACTAGAAGCTGATAAAACTTCATATCAAAGTATCCAGCACAGTGAGTGTTGCATGTAATATTAATTATCGACATGTGAAATTCAGGTTAGCACTATGACAACCTGACCTCTTCTTATGATGTAATTTAAAATGAAATAATATGAAGTTCAGAAATAAATGAGAAGCAAGAATTTTAATTATTTTAATGCAAAACCTAATTATACAACCTATTAATGCCTTCATCTCAAATTAAAAATCATATGTCCAAATAAAAAAGCAGACAATTCCAATTAACATCTGCTTCATACATTAGAAACAAATTTACATACCTGACTTTGACAACGTTACAAGCTGATGATTTTCCATTTCTTTGATTAACCACCAGAACAAATTCCACTTGATCACCTGGCTGCAAAGTTGTCGCATCTTTAACTTCCGACATGTGAAAGAACAATTTCTTGCCTTCTTCAACTTCATATGCCAAGAACCCAAACAGGCCTGAAAAAAAACTTTTTTTTAGTACTCCAGTACCTGATTACACAAGTCTGTCAAATAATCAACAGAAATATAAACAAATTTTTAACAGAGAATATGAATTTATTTTTAGATTTATTTTCTGCCCCAAAATTTAAAAAAGCAATTATACACATTCATTAATTTCCTTACAAAGTTGTTCAGAAATGTGATGAAGAACCTCTAACTTAATGTTTTCCAAGTATGTAGATTGTTTCATTTCCAAAACCTACTCCATGCAAGGTTTTCATGTAGACAATTGTCTCATAAGTACATATTAGTAGAGCTTCAATAACACATACTTTATCGCCCATTGTAACAAAACATATTGTCCATATTATCACATCTCAGTTATCACTTGTAAAACTCATCACAAATCTTAGAACATTATGTGTGAAAACTAATTTAAAGATTTTATAATATATATATTATATATATATATATATAAGTAATACTATATATATATATATATACTATATATAGTCGCGTTTCAACAAGCTACACAACACGCACAAAGCTCATTGCTGAATGCAAATTCCAAATAATCTCTGGGCACTCTTCATACTCAATGTATTACATGTTTTTTCAGGCACCCAGAGGCGACCGGGCAGGGAGGGCGGACTGGCGGACAGAGGGGAGGGGGCGGAGTCGCGCCGGAGGGCAGCGACTGCGGACAGAGCGGAGGGAGCGCGAGGGAGGGACGGAGAGGGCGGCACGGACGGACGGAGACGGGACGGCACCGGACGGAGCGACACGGGGGACGGACGGAACGGGGAGACGGAACGACGGGAGACATGCGGGACGGCACGGAGACGGACGGGACGGGGGAGACGGTACGACGGGAGACGGACCGCGACGGGACGGACGGACGGAGACGGACGGACGGAGACGGGACAGGACGGAAGACGGGTACGGACGGAAGAAACGGGACGGACGGAGACGGACGGAACGGAGAACGGACGGGACGGAGACAGACGGACGGAGCCACCGACGAGCACCGGACGGACGGAACGGTACGGACGGAGACGGACGGACGGAGACGGACGGGACGGAGAACGACGGCGGAGACGGGGACGGGACGGAGACGGGACGGAGACGGACGGACGGGAGAGGAACGGACGGAGGCGGGACGGACGGAGGGCCCCGGACCCGGACGGAGGACGGAACGGACGGGAGACGGACGGACGAAACGGACGGAACGGAAGACGGACGGGACGGAGACCGGACGGACGACGGAGAGCGGGACGGACGGAGACGACGGACGGAGACGGACGGACGGAGACGTGACGGACGGAGACGGACGGACGGAGACGGACGGACGGAGACGGACGGACGGAGACCGGACGGAGCGGAGACGGACGGACGGAGCGGACGGACGGGCAGAGCGGACGGACGGAGACGGGACGGACGGAGACGGACGACGGAGACCGAACGGGACGGGAGACCGACCGGACGGAGACCGACGGACGGCAGACCGACGGACGGATACAGACGGACGGACAGACCGACGGACGGAGACCGACGAACGGAGACCGAGAGACGGAGAGGGACGGAGACCGAGCGGGACGGAACCGACGGACGGAGACCGACGGACGGAGACGGACGGACGGAGAGCGGGACGGACCGAGACGGACCGGACGTGAGACGGGATGGACGGGGAGAAACGGACGGACGGAGACCGACCGGAAGCGGAGACCGACGGGACGAGACGGACGGACGGAGACGGACGAGGGGAGACGGACGAGACGAAGCCGGGACCGGACGGAGACCCGACGCGACGGAGACCCGAGCGGACGGAGACACGGACGGACGGAGATCCGACGGACGAGAACCGACGGAGCGGAGACCGGACGGAACGGAGAACGACGGACGGAGACGCGACGGACGAGACGCGACGGACGACGCCGACGGACTGGAGACCGCGACGGAGACCGACGCGGACGCACGCAGACCGAGGAGCGGGAGACCCCCGCACCGGAGGAGACGCCGCGGCGGGAGAGACCGAAGCGCGACGGGAGGACGACGGAAGGAGACCGACGGACGGAGAACCGACCGACGCGACGGGAGACCGCGGACGTGATACGGCGACGGACGGAGCACCCCGGACGCGACGGACAGAACCGACCGGCACGGGAGACCGGACCCGGACGGACGGGCGGACCGCCCGGGTGTGAGCGAGTGTACAGGAGACGGACGAAGACTGGGGACGGGAGACAGGCGCACACACGGCATTGGTACCGGGACGGGAGACGTGGACCAGGAGCGGGACGGGAAGACGGACGACGGGACGGACGAGGACGGCGACGGGACGGGGAGACGGGACCGACGAGCGGAGACGGACCGACGGACGGAGACCGACGGACGGACGGACGGAGACGGACGGACGGAGACGGACGGACGGACGGAGACCGACGGACGGACGGACGGACGGACGGACGGAGACGGACGGACGGAGACCGACGGACGGACGGACGGACGGAGACCGACGGACGGACGGAGACGGACGGACGGAGACGGACGGACGGACGGAGACGGACGGAAACGGGCAATTCAGTGTGTCAATCAGCAGATGGTGGAGCTCTTGTGAGAATTTCTACCAACGGACATTAAAGACCGTAATCACAAATTGAACTGGCCCTATTCTGAACGAGAGTTAAGGGCTTGCAAGAAAAAATGCGCCGATGACGAGGTACCGCCTGGGAGAAGCTAGGATCCCAAGGGAGAGCGGTTAGAGGGCCTATGAACGATCTGATTGGGAATGCCTTTTTGAAAGATTATTCGTATCCAATGAAACCTGTTTTTTTTTATCACTGCACTCCAATTGGGATCAAATACCGCTGCCAATACGGCTGCTCTTATTAAAGGATGGCCCTGATAGGATGTATACTGCAGGGAGTGGCATACAGCGGTAGAAACCATGAATCGTTTCCTCAGTCAGTGCATATTTACGATGCCAGCAGGAATAAAGCGACATGACAAAATACAAGAACTTCGTATGGGGGAAGATGCTCCGAAAATTGGACTCCGTTGTGACCAGAGAAGCCATTTTCTCCGTTGCGGAAGGGGTTAGACTCAAACATGACCAGGTATTGAAAAGCCGGGTAGGAGTCCACGTGGTCGATGTGACTGCCCGCCACGAGGATGAGTCTAGCCTTCTGAAAGCAGGGGACGGAAAGGTGGTAAAATACCAACCAGTCATTCCCCTGGCAACCCAACTTCATAAGCACCCAACGCCAGAATCCTGCCAGAAGTGGTTGGAATCTCTGGAGATATGCCAATATCCACACACTCACAGATCCCACAAGACCCTGGGGATCACTTCTCGAGGCGTTCTTCTACCTCTTTAATTGCTCTAGAAAGCACTATGAAACTACACACAATTTGTAAATTACGATGAAGCAATTTAGCATTGCTGGAAGTAAATGGAGGAAAGGAACTTCAGAGTCCCATGGGGAAGTTTAGGGAACCAAGGGATCCTAAATTGCTTAGGAATTACTTAGTTACCACGACTATAAGTGGGAAGTGTAAGTTATTTAATGTAGTACATCGAAAATTATGTAATCGAATTTCAGAAATTTTGGTCCTTGATACTGAAAAAGTGTTGTTTTTTTTCAGAAAGTCATTCCATCTGTGAATACCACTAGCGCCGTAACTATTCATTTAATTTTTTCCCAAAATAAATATTCCCTATTCGACCTGGCTCCACTTGAAGCTCTGAGATTTTGAAAAACATTCCTTAAAATTTGGGGATTCTTTACATGAAGCCTTTGCGACATTTCCAAAATTTTCTCTGAAGGTTCCAATTTTTTTCTTTAAATTTCATTTAAGAATAGAATACTTATAATGATGGGATATTGAATTGAATTTGCCTTATTTTACGTGGCGAGACTCGGGCCATCAGGCCCGCTCTTCCGTCTGACCACGCAAATTTCGCTACGCTCCTTTCATCAACTAGCAGAGAAAGGAGGTATTTCTTGGGCGAGAAACAGGATATGTCCGATTATCATTGTTAACTCTGAATTTTAAATTGCAATTTTTGATTTTTCGGCGTCTTCCGACAACTACAAAATTGAAGACAATTTTCCTTGATAAAAAATTCTTTCTTCTTAACGAGTTCTTTCAAAAGGTCATATTAAAAATACCAGAAACAAGAATTTCTCAAAAACGGTCTTGTGCAAATGCAGTTGTACTTTTTATAAATGTATAAACTATTCAGTAGACTCCAACTGAAGCCGCACCACTGGTAGGTCCAACATGGTATCAGGAATTATCCCATAACTTTTTGTCATCTCAGTGCACTTCATTGTGGGGGGCACATTATGGGGGGAATAATCTTATATAAAATAGAAGTCAGATTCTATTACTTTCTTAAGAGCGCAGCTGCCAGGATCCAGAGAAGCTCCCTTCTCGACCCCTCAGCACCTGAGCCGGCGCCCGCTGCCTAGAATGATTCATTGTTTAATGATTCCGGGTACGTCAACTACTAGTGTCATTAGTCCCGTAGGTATAATGCATATTTTGCACGGGAAGGGGCTGTGATCTTCCCTCCGCTGTATGACGAGATCCGGTGCCGAATACCGTAGGCGAGCGGGGCACCGCCCCAGCCGGGACTCCCAGGCGGGTGACGATCTCCTGACGGGTCTCCCAGGATGCGTGGTAGTGTAGTGCATATTAGTGTGTGTGTGGACAACTGGTAAGGAAAGGACAATGAAGAAGTAGGTAAGATCGCGCGCGGTCCACGGCCCGATTGTTACACCGAAAAAAAAACAAAAAACGTTGGAGTATATCAGATACTGTAACAAACTTCCTTGTTACAGTATCATGGATCTGGTATAATCCAACGGTTCTGTTTTTTTCGGTGTAGGGTACTGCTCGGGCATTCGCCTGCTGTCATTCGGAGAAACCACGGAAAACTACTGATCAGAGCAGCCGGCCGGTAGAATTCTCCTCCAGGCAGCGCCTGAATTCGACCTAACAAGCTAGTGTTGAAAATCCTGCCACCGCCGGGATTCGATCCTAGGACCTCGCGGTCAGTGACATCAGTTGATACCCTGAGCCATCTCGACCTGGGCGGCGATTTTCTTTATATCTGTACGGCATAGACCTCTCTACACCATCTCTCCTCACAGCCCCCCCACCCCCACCCCACCCACTGGCTAGAGTGTGTATGTTACAGAGGGAAGTCACGGCTGCGACAGCTAAAGATTGTTACTCCAAATAAATATAAAAGCCCACCGACGTTCAGACCTGCAGCTGCAAGTTCGCCCTGCACTCCTTGTGTGTTACCAGTTCTAAAATGTTTAATTGCTTATAAGTGATAAATAAATAGATTCATTGTTTCTAATGATCATTAACAAGAAATAGTAACAAATGTAATAGTTTTTGTAGTTTTTGTGACTTTATAGATGAGGGTGTTCTTACTTGCTTAACATGCACTCAAGCAGTATCATAAGCAAATGCAAAAAAACAAAAACCTGTTAGCTCACCGGAAACGAAATCCACAAGAATTTTTCCTGTCACAGGAATTAAAACATTTGCTAGGGATGTTACGCCAAACAAAATCGGCAGGAATTTAAGATCAGGTTGTCCATAGAAAATGTCTAATAATTTAATTATTGTCAGTATTATTTGATTTTTATAAAATCATGTTGTATTACCTATAATTTATAACAATCATAATATTCTGTCTCAGTGTCAAATTCTCGAAGGATTACTTATTGAAAATTCCCTAATAATAATTCTACAAAATATTCTCCCGCTACCGCCGATAGATACACAATTGCACGAGTTTGTTAAAAATATTTAATAGGTAATATGTAGCACACAATTGCCTATAAGGACTTGACATGGAATCCTGATTAGTGATTCCAGTTGCATCAACTGCTAAGATCATTAGCCCCCATTTGGAGAGCGTGTTTTATTGTGGGAGGTTGTACTGATATTCCCCCGCTGACGGGCAAGGTCAGGCTCCAATCCACATCGGCTTGTGGGGATTTTCCCTCGCCAGGTATCTCCCCCCAGCCTGAACAAGCTCAATGCTCCCGTCAGGTCTCCCAACAAGTGTGGTAGTGTAGTGCTTGTGAGTGTAAGAGTGTGCAAGTAAGGGTGAGTGTACGACAAGGAGGAAGAAGGAAAGATCATGTGTGGTCCATGGCATGTTTCTTAGAGTACTGTTCCAACATTCACCTAGGGTTGATGGAAGAACCCACAGAAAACTACCATCCAGAGCACCTCAACACTAGAAATCTCCTCTGTACAGCGGCTGAATTTGTCCTAGCTGATAAGTTTGTGTCAAAAATCCAGCCACTGCCAGGACTCAAATCCTAGGACCTCCTGGTCAGAGGTACTTCAGCAACATCAATTGAAACCCTGAGCCACATATAGCAGTATGTCTAATGGAAAAGAGTTGGAATATGATCTTCAGAGTTCTAAATACTTAAATCAATGTATTTACTATTTGACTGCATGTAAACAGAGCTGCAAATTACAATGTTATGATTAAAACTATATGTATTAAACAAGCTTTTTATATAATGGTAATTTTCTGGTTTCAATTGATTCAATAGAGTATTTTTTTGTTGTACTCATTGTTACTAGTCTCCCTGTAACTAACTCATCTATGTTAGAAGAAATAAGTCTACCAGAGGAAGTCAATGTCATGCAAGAATGAACTAATTATTTAATTAAATCTCATTGCTAACATTGCACATTTTATTAAAATCCTTCCTCTCTTTTGTTTTCGATGTGTTTAAAAGTTATTACCAAGAGAAATACTAATATATTGTTAATAGTACCATTTAAAATATGCAATAACACAGACATTTGTCATAAGATCACTTTTAAGGTTATATTTTTTTCTCCACAAAACACTTGTCAATTCAACTCAAAATGAACATATCTTCATGTTCCATTCTAATGAAAGACAAGGCAGAAGGATTATCATGTAACGAAAAAGGCTTCCATGGCAGAGAGCTTGAGCTTGACCCTGACTGGCAAAGATGGGTCTAGGAACTTTAGAAGGAGGGGAGAGGCAGTAGGATTCATAGTTTCAAAAGTTGGCTGTTCTGACCACAAGTAGGTTCAGATACCACATTGCAAATTCCGTCTCCTATTATGTACCATGGAAGGAAAATAAAAATGACTTGCAGGAAAATAAAAATGACTTACAGGAAATAATTTGCAGGAATATAAAAATGAATTTGAAGATGTAAAAGTATAACACCCATTACAATAAAAATGCCTCAAAAAATAATTTAGAATAATGCAGTTAGGAGTGTCAACATCAACAAAATTAAATTGACACACCATAACTAATCAAACAAATGCATATATAAAGCAAAAAGAAAAATTGAATTGGACACACGTTTTGAGAATAATCCTCCTACCTTTTACAGCATCAACAGTAGCCCTTCTCTTCTTTCGAACTGCAACAACATTAGCAGCTCTCCCTTCTGTATCCAGTTGGAAAGTGACAGGATCTCCATTCTGTAGAAGTTCTCTCTTGTTGGACAGACTAGTTATGCCAAATTCATATTCTTTCTTCTCAGTTTCTGTAAAGAATTAAAATTATTTTGTTCATAGAAGTCATTAGAACATAATTTTTTTAATTTTAAAATTGATAATTCAACTACTCAAGTTCAAATTTATGGTTGATAACACACAGTGCAATATTTATAAATTATTAAAAAGATAAGAACTAATCGCAACCTTGATGAATAGACATGTATAGATCATAGTATCAAAATACATTTGTGACTTATTTCAAGCCCAACTGAACATACACAAAGGGGTCAAATCAGTGGTGTACCATTCAGGCCCGCAAGGCCCAGGTACAGAGAGCCCATTTTTAGGGGATCTTTTTGCTATTTAAGCTACTAACACTACTCAAGTTAGCTTTACACTTTCAGAGAGAGATGTCATACATGTTGTCATAAAAAAATCCTATTTTTTTTTATTTCTTTTGCCATGTTTTCAATGGACAACCTGCCAGTCTCTGCTTCTTGCAGTGGTACCTGTGTCCCTAAACCCCTTATAGCAAACAAAATCAAAAGATTTGTACAGAGTTCTCAAAAAAAACACGAATGGTTTCTTTGGCAGCTTTTACATCTTCAGAACTACTCATGAAACCTAATAGTAATCATCTTCCAATTCATTTTGTGGCTTCCCACAATAAAGAATAAATTAATAACAAAATCCAACAAGTGCCCACAATTTATTTCAATCTAATCGGATTACCTCTAATAAACTGCCTTTATATTATTAATGTCCACAGTATTTCACGATTCATTTCATCACTGCCAATGATTCTTCAAAATATCCCAAACTGGTGGAGGATTGATTGATCCGCTCAATTACAGTCATATTTTAAAACCTTTTTTTCTGTCCTGTTTATACTTGCCCAATCCATTATTGCAGAAATGAATAATTTTTTCTTTCATTTAAGACAGTTGTTTCTTAAATAGTTCTTTTTAACTACATCAACAGGAGAGATCCTCTTCTCCATCTAGTACATTCCATTGTCAGGTAATTTATGATAAATAGTAAGGCAAGAAGGAACCAATAAAAACTTTCATTTTCAATCGGGCTAAATCACTAATTTTTCTTAGTGGCAGCATAACAAACTGTTTTCTTTACAATGTGATCACAAAATAGCAACATGAAATACTTTCGAAGACTTTCCTGCGAGTCGAGTTGTGTTAGTCTTCTGAGATTTTTCATTTTTATTTGCAGTGCTATTCTGTCTTGCAGTTTGGTATAATATGTTTTGCTGTGTTTACGATTTTACCAATGCGAGAGGATGAATTTAAGCCTTGATTTATCTCCTGAATAATTTCTTGAGAAGGGCAGAAATTACCGACTAGGTCCCGGCACGTTTTGAATGTTGCTGTTTCAATCAACATCATCTGAATCTTTTGTCAATCCGATTCCGAAGCCGGTCCATGTTCAGTGGACACACCACAATATTCAATATCTTCACTTCCAACTTACATTTTCCAGATCATTGACCAAACTAATTTCCTGTCTGTGGGAGCCATGAATACATTTGGAAATCTTCCAAAACTAAGGCAAACCAAACATTTAATTGTTTTTTAGAAATTATCTGCATCAAAATATCATTACTCTCACCTTACACACAACTTCAAAATCAAATCATAACACTCAAACAAGAGAAAGAGAGAGAAAAGAAAGAAGATAGAAAAGAAGAGAGAGAGAAAGAGAGAGGGAGGAAGAGACAGAGAGGACCACAAGAGAGAAGAGACAGAGAGAGAGACAGAGAGACAGAGAGAGAAGAAGAGAGAGAGAGAAGAGAGAGAGAGAGAAGAGAGAAGAACAAGAGAGAGAGAAGAGAAAGAGGAGGAGAGAAAGAGAGAGAAGAGAGAAAAGAGAGAGAGAGAGAGAGAGAGAGATAAGAGAGAGGAGAGAGAAAGAGAGAGAGAGAGAGAAAAGAGAGAGAGAGAGAGAAAGAGAGAGAGAGAGAAAGAGAGGAGAGGAAGAAAGAGAGAGAGAGAGAAAGAGAGAGAGAGAGAAAGAGAGAGAGAGAGAGAAGAGAGAGAAAGAGAGAGAGAGAAAGAGAGAGGGAGAAAAGAGAGAGAGAGAGAAAGAGAGAAGCAGAAAGAGAGAGAGAGAGAAAGAGAGAAGAGAGAAAGAGAGAGAGAGGAAAGAGAGAGAGAGAAAGGAGAAGGAGAGAGAAAGAGAAGAGAGAGAAAGAGAGAGAGAGAAAGAGAGAAGAGAGAAAGAGAGAGAGAGAAAGAGAGAGAGAAGAAAGAGAGGAAGAGAGAAAGAGAGGAGAGAAAGAGAGAGAGAAGAACGAGAGAGAGAGAAAGAGAGCGAGAAGAGAAGAGAGAGGGAGAAAAGGGAGAGAGAAACACAGCAGCTCAATTCTCGAACATTAAGACTCATGGAAGTACGTTTTTTTATCTAGTCCTGATCGCATTGACTGAAAACAACATTCTGGATACCTT